CCATCCTTAGGGAGCCACGGGCAGTCGGGTAATATGGTTTGAGCAGCGTCCACCTGAAAAGGAGTGAAGAGTTTATGGTGTCCTGAGGTCCTAAAACTCGAGGTCATTAAAGAAATCAAAATACAAGCCTAGAGGAAGGCAAGTCCAAATCTGGCAAATGCTAAAGCAAGAGATCTCAAGGTAGAAACAAATGACACAAGACCCGTTTAGAACTTGTCTTGGGCTTGGTGTGACGCTCAGAATGCTGTTTGAAATAGGATTTATATTTATCTGCCTCTGGAGTTGTGGCACTTCTCCCCTTTTCCATGATTCCTCTAATAGTAATCAATACGATAATTTCATTTTCCAGTTCTCTCAGTATTCCGAGATGGAAAGCTCCTCAGGCATAAAACTGGAGCTATTTTAGAAGAGTGTGGCTCAATAGCTGGAGGTTTAATTATCTCTAAACGCCACCATTTCCGATCTGAAGGTCAACATCTTAGATTTTAGTCACAGAGCATCTGAAATTACAAAGGGGGGAGGGGGAGAAAACCCTCGCTAGTAGAGGACCTCTCCCAGTTTAAAGCCAATCAATGCACCTGCCATGTTGGTCACCTGTTTAGAATTTCCACACCACTGCTCTTCTCACATGGCACTTATCTGCGCTGCAAGGAACAGACTAAATTTAACCCTGAAGGATTTGAGAGCAAAACCGGAAAAGCAGGCAACAAGGCTTCTACACATCCCTTAGGATGCCTCAATGAACAGTACTATGCCTGGTAAAGAGAAAGTCCGGTTAAGTAAGTCACTGGGAGAGAAGAAAGGAACAAATCCAAATTATTAGGTAAGATGAAAAGTGAACCCATCAGATGGGGCTGGGGAGCTCAGTGGCCTGGGAGAGCTAAACCGGCCTCTATGATTAAACATCAGGATCGACAGGCAAAACCATGCCGGCGGATATTTCTTCCCCAATATCCTTCTGAACCACTCACCACCACTTCATCTGGTGACGACCTGCCATTCCTTTGGTCAGGGTATTTCATTTTTATTATTCTTCTGTTGGAATAAGGGACTTAGGTGCTTTTTACAATCATCTGACCTAGCGATGTACAGGGAAGGAGCGCATGGACCAAGCGATAACCCTGGACCTGAAGGAGTGTAAATCCAGGCCATGCGATGCTCACGAACAGCACAGAACTTACAACAAGATGCGGGGGCCCTCGGCCGAGTGGCTCAGTTGGTTAAGAGCTCGCTCAAGAGTGTGAGCTCTGAGCAACAGCGGTTCGAGTCCCGGCCCGAGCTGAGCAGCCGCTGAGCTGCCAACAGGTGGCAGGATGGCTCAGCTTAAAAATAAAAATATAAAATAAATTTTAAAAAAAGATGCGGGGGCCCTATCCAGCAAGCATCTCAACTTAGGGGCACAAGTCCAAGGTCACAAGGACAGGCCGGTTTTCCCAGTCTCTCCTGGCAAGCTTCCCTGCCAGTCATCCCCCATCATGTGGTTTAGTACAGAGGTAACACTTGGACCCCCACTAATGGTGGGAAGCGGTAGTTCTCTTTCTTGTATAAACCTTTTGGATGCTTTTATTGTGGCTTTAGGCGGCAGACATCCATGTCCCAGCTCCCCTGATGTCCAGCCACCATAAAATTCCATAAGACTCCAGAGCCAGACCAATTCTCATCTTCCTTTAAGTTATTCCAGGGCTCCAAACAGCCACTGCTACTGGAAATGTGGCCCTGGCAACATAACACAGTCAACCAAAGGACAATAGGAACAATTCATCCAAATGTACCACAGAACAAATGACAGCAGCACGAAAGAGCACTAACCCTGGGAGCACCACACACAAAGCTTCATCAAGCTGAGTGCCCTTTTCTCAGTCTAAATAAGACAAACACATACACCATAAAATGCATACTGCCACTAGAACTGCCTTTCTAAGATGTAGAACAGGTCACACCTTACTTCTACTTTACAGCTTTCTACAGCTCTCCATCCTCTTGAGCACAGCACTCAAGTTCCTGCACAATCACGTCCTAACTTCCTTTTCTGGCCTTGGGGTTACCCACTGCACACCACTCGCCTGCTGGGGTGAGTCACACCACTTTCTTATCTGAACAGTCACGCACCAACTGTGCTACGGAGATGGTAACTATACCAATCCTGCCTAGAGTACAACAAGAACTCCTTGGCTGTCCTCCAGATGTTAACTGCACGATGAATAAATCAAGAGCTTTGAATTGTTTTTCTGCTAAAAGTGCCTATCACAAAGGAACAGGAAAATTCATATTTACACTAAAGATAAAGAATAGTTATTTGGCTTAAGGAAGACGTGTTTTAAATAGCAAATTCTCTTAAGTGCTCTCTAAGTGGGATTTGATTTACAAAAAACAGGTTTACATGCAAAAAATGGTAGGCATATATCCAGGTTCTACTGGTGATACTTCCCATCAATATGGTTCACAATATATGATATGGTATGTTTAATAATTTAGCATTTGTCTCCACTCACTCATTTCATGGGAACAAGTATATACACCGCTGGGGAAAAAAGAAAGTGGACGAGAAAGAATAAAGAGGTGGGAGAAGCATTTTATATTTGTCAAGCTATTAGTATGGTGGCTCATTTTTATTTCATCATCGTTTTTTGTTTTTGTTTTTTTAACAAACTGAAAGGTACTCTACAACACTACTGGATTTGTGCTGCTTTATCCACATTCCCCCTGCACTACTCATCGTTAAGCAGGGATGTGAGGTGATCACCACCAGCACACCTGATCTGTGTTCAGATGCTGTTTGAAGGATGAGGTGGATGACCATGGAGCACAGCAAGCTGACTGGTCCTCACAGATCAAGGTCAGGACCTTGCCTTTTATCATTAGTGTTCTGTATTCTGCCAGCCAAAAATGCATGCTCTGCGGGACAGAGAGGGCCAGGGTTTTATGCTATAAAGTTATACAAACATTTAAGTACTAACAAGCGGGAGAAAACACTAATGTATCTAGAGCAACACTTTACACAATTTATTTGACAGAGGAGTTGAAATTGTCAGGAAACTAATTTGACTCATTTGTAGCGAGTATTAACCATTCAATAAAATTAAAATTTAAACACTTGAACATATTTTTCATCATTAGCTCATTACAATGTTATGAAACACAGGTACATAGTTTGAACACTCATTATTTTTAAGTATTTGGCCAAATGTGCTAGAAAAGATTATCAAAACAATAGTACACCTCAGTAATTTCAAAAGGCAAAACCACAAAACATAAAAAGAACAGAAGTAATATTAATTTTCATTAAAAAACTTTGCTTGCTAAAAATAAGTTCTAGTTGCACATAATTTACTAAAAACATTTATCAGCTCTGAGATCAACTAAATAATAGCAACATTCTTTTAGCACCCTTGCTGTGATCTGGGCACTGTTCTAAGAAGTTTACACGTATTATTACCTTAATCCCCAAAACAACACTGCTAGGTAAAAAAAACTATCATCCTCAACTCATAAATGAAAAACTGAAGCACAGACTAAGTAATTTGTTCAAGGTCATATAACTAGTAAACAGGGGACTTATTTAATTAACTTGAAACCTCATACAGATTACTGAAAGATGATAACATTTATATAAATAAGCCAAGGGAAAATACCTTTAAAACTATATAGACATATTCGTATTACCCATGTTTTAAAAGCATCAATTTTGTGGGGGTTTTTTTTTGCTCCAAATCTACTCACAGATCCCCTTGTCACCTCACTTAAACTGGATCTTACATGAGAAAAAACTTGGGTTAATAACAACAGAAAAGACAGCAATTACTTGTTTTATAAAATTATTTGTCATATTGAAATATAATTCATTTGAGGTGCCTTTAAGCAGCAAGCTACCAATGTTACGCAGTATGCATGCATCAAAGATGCAGCTTTCATTACAGCAGAGCTGCTTTACCTGAATCAACCATATTGATAAAATCACATGAAATCATGTAAAAACTGAATGAACTAAACACTTTAAAAGCAACATATATATCACACAAGGAGAAACACAGCCATACATAAAAAGTTGGATAACCCATAAGATTTCAGGGTCCTTGGACTTGAAATCACCTGTGTAAGGGTTATGATTTCTCAGAATATAAAGACACAAGGAGAATTTTTCTTTAAACATTCACAAAAGAGAAAAAGGTCAAGACTATGCCATAAAATGAAAATTAAGTTCTTCTTTATATTTATCTGGTTAATTCTAATCATTTTTGAGTTAAGTGTTTTTTTATTTCCTTAGACTAGTACATAAGAGTTATTGAAAGTGAATTTAGCTTTTCCATCAGTTTGTTCAAATTTAAAGTATCTGACGTTACCCATGGGAATTCTGCCTCAGGCAATATTTTCTGATGGTCTGGTATAAGGTATGGTATCTTATTGCAGTTCCAGTTAAAATACAAAGAAAAACAACACTCATATTTGCTAGCTAGTCTTCCTTTTAGTATATATTAGCTGTGGTGTCTTTTGTCGGTATACACAAACATCAAGTATAATGCATGCCTAGCAACTAGAAAATTGAGTCGTTTTTATGTGTGGCTAATAAAAACCACTCTCATTACTTTACAGCCCCATACTTCCTATACAATACTCTACCACAACATTTAAGTCAACTTACATGTACCACAGGAAACATAAAATGGAAACAATTCATCAGTGATGCATAGCACGTAGATGAAAACTTTATAAAAATCAATCTTCAGCCTAAGTTAGTTTCTATAGTCCTGGGCCTACCACCGTGTTTGCACATAGGAGGAATTTAATACATCTTCAGTTGTTAAAAAGCACAACTACACACACACCTGCTTAGTATTCAATTCTTTCTACTTCCTGAAGACCTAAGGAAATAGACCGTGTTCATCTGGAATGCACACTTACATCGAAACAAGAGGTGGCTGAGATGAACAAAACAGATTATGTCAGTGTTCCTAAATAGAAAGAACCAACAGGGATGATGTATTTCTAAAGAAGCTGCTTACCTTACAAACAGAAAGAATATTAACATTTATCAGTTTCTTGATTACCTGCAAAAAAAAAATTGATAACTTTATATAGATTTGATCATGGAAATGACTATATTAGATATCCATACATGTAAGTGAGCTAGGTGAGCACTGGAAGTTTCCCCACATGTAGCAGAGACCTCGGAAAATGAGGGCAGTTGGGGCGAGAGGTGGTTTTATTTTACTCTCAGTGTTATAGGACTTTTCTAACAGAAGCAGCAATGCATGCTAATCTGCAAAATCCAAGGTATGTGTGCAGGTAAAATTCAAAAGCAAAAAGACACACTTAGTCTAAAATAAATATGAAAACTTTGCAGTTTGCTCTCTGACAATCTGGAAAGGAGAAATGATTGAGTCTAAGATTTTCCACAACTTTCTAAAAATGTACATATTCCCTCAATGATATGTTTTTCTAGTTTTTATTAAAGAATTACGCATGCATCAAGGATATAGCTTTCATTTTGGTAGAGCTGGCTTCCGTAAATCAACTAGCATACTGCTATATATTAACACATTTATGATTTTTAAATTGGTGTTTAGAGTCCTAATACTTAAAACAGAGCTGTTTCGATATAAGAAGAATAAAACTAGAGCTATTATTGAACAGGGCACTGTACAAATGAGGGTATAAATATTTTTTCATTCGATCCTTCTCACATCCCTATGGAGTTGTGTGTGTTTATGGGCGAGGGGACGGACACTAAGGACGGCTGAGATCACCCTCAGAGTAACTCAGGTAGCCGGTAGAAGACGACCCAGGGTGTAAGCCTCAGGCAGCTGGACGGGAGAGCTCACAGCCTGAGCCACGACACCACATTGCCTCCCCAGCACCTATGCCTTCCCTTTGCTACCATCATATACAGAGAAAGACTTACATTGTCCAAGTCGGGAATGTTCAGGAAGTATTCAGGATACTCATATGACATTCCCACGTTGTTCACTAAAATAAGACAAGATCATTAGCTGGCTAACATACATATTTTATAGATTCATCGAAATAATGAGATTAAAGATGTCAAGGCTAAAATGATACATATGATGACATCAAGTACTATTTATGGCTGGAGGGACCTTTCCCACACCTTTCTATCCAAATCTACCCCTGTATGAATACTTGAAATGCCTCCTCTGTCACTAACCCAACTCCTGTCAAAGGAGCTTACATTTACCTCCTGATTTCCACACCCCTTAGAGTATGTATATTCTGTTTCTGTGACACAGTTATTTGTAGCTATTGCTTAACCCCCTCTAGATCCTAATTTTTCATAATATAATTTTTAAAGGTGGAGAGTACTGTAGTGTCGGAGACTGGAAGCTTGAGTTTTATAACTATTTCAGAAAATGTGTGACTCGGGAAAAGCCATTTATGACACACATCTCAGTTTCTTCATCTCTAAAATGAGAGCTCATTTAATCATCCAACAAAACCAGAAAGAAAAGGCAGTTTCTGGCATCACGGAGCATACAGTGGAGTAGGAGGAAGAAGCACTAAACGAAAAGAATTTAAACAATTATTACATTACAAAGTGCATGGTGCCATGGGAGGCTATACCTGGAAAGTCTGACCTGGTCCGGAAAGTGAGGAAAGCCTTGTGGTAGAGGCCAAGGAGGCCAAGTTCAGACTAAATGTCTCCAGTCACCATCCTTCCCTACGAGACCTTTAAGGCCTTAAAAGACCATGTCAGGTCTTAGTCTTCCTCATACCCCCATTTCTCAATCAACTAACCTAAGATAGGGGCCATAAGACCACCGAGAAGGTATGAAAAATGAATGTACAGTTTAACTGGGTACATGATTAATACTCAGATATCCTATGGTTTCCTTAGCCCTGGAAAGACAAAGACAAATCCACAACAAGGAACATTTGTAGGAATCAAAATATAAATATCTTAAAATTTATTTTAACCAAATAAATAATGAAATGGATTATCTACCTATCTGCCTATCTATCCATATTTAATCATCACAACAACTATATTAGGTACTGCCTATTATTATCTCCCTTTTATATATTAGGAAACTGAAATTCACAGCAGTTAAATAACTCGCCTAAGGTTAGAGAGAAGGAATTCAAACTCAGGAAATTTGACTTCAGAGGCTGGGGCTCTTAACCACTACATTAACGCCATCATAGGCCTTCATCCAGTATTCAGTTCAGAAAAAAAATATCAGTAATAATTGGATAATAAACAGAAATCTGATAGCAATGTTTAATAAAACTGTAAAGGGTTAGAAAAAAAGGTTTCAGTAGCAAACAGATAATGAAATTATGATCCGTCGGCTAAAGATTATAAGGAATTGTGCCAGATAAACCTGATAGTAGTAAGAGTAACTTTTTCAATAGGCTAACAGAATTAGTAGTTCAAAAGTACTCAATGAGGGTTTTATATTTAGCAGTAAGCCAGTCACTTGAGGCTGTTGAGTCTCAAGATTTTACTTGCACAATTTGGTCAGGATGGCTTGGACAAGAGCACTGAAACCTGCCTGAAAATCTGTAAGGAAAGGATAATGGCCAAATAAACTGTATTTAATTAAAATTCATGCACATCTGAATAGGGATTGTATCTACACGTAATTAATAACAGCAGATCCAAATCCATTTTTATTTTATTCAATAGGTTCTCCACCCACCAGGGGTTCTAGGAATCAATTGTGTAAAAGATCTGTTAACAATTAAGCCAAAACTAGTTGAAGGTGAGGCTTTATATTCATTTGTCTTTGCTCTAACCATCTACAGAATTATAAAGGATGAATAACTTAATTACAGTGTGACTAAGAGAAACAGCAACAACCAAAATATCTGTTAAAATGCCACACATGAACAAAATATTCTTTACATAGTCAGTTTAAGATAACAGAATCCTTGAAGAAAGGTTTTGCCAAATGGTAATATTCATCAGGTTTTTAAAAGAATTTCTATCACATGCAGCAAACTCCATCTCCCTTCACTCTTCCGTATCTAAAAAACTTTCTATTTTCAGATTCCTTTCTAGCCCATGGCAAAATGAATGCTCTGTAAATTCAAAATGCTAAAGAAAAGTGCATGATGTAAATATAAATCTTTTAAAGTCCAGATTTGGTTTAAAAAAAAAATCTGAGAACTTTGTAAGCAGCATAGTAACCTGCACTCTTTGCAACATGTACTACAAGGAAGCCCACAAGTAACTGAGTAACTAAGCAAGCAGGAAGTGTTGCTATGGGTAATGCATTGGCAATAGCGCTCGGATCTGTCTCTGCTGGCTGAGCAAAGGGAAGCTATCGAAGTTACCTATACTCATGCAACCAAAACGTGAGCATCTATTTAACACAGCTTTAAAAGAAAACCTGGTCAACAGTTGAGAACGGCAGCCCAAATAAATACATAGTATCATGTATAAGGGCTATGCTTTCATAACCCAAAATACACACGGAAAAAAAAAACATTAAAGCTGGAACAGATCTTTCCGAACAGTGTTCCTGATTTTATGAAGGGAAGTACATGCCCAAGTCACACCGGCAAAATGTCCCATAGTAGGCATTAGGGCTCTTAAATCGCTTCCTGCGCTATTAGTTGCACCTTTCGCGGGTGGAATATATGCTACCCATAATCTCTCCACAATAAGTAACCACTTCCGAGTGCAATTATTTAAGAGTGTAGAGGAAAAACAACTGTTGCTCTCCAACAGTTATTTCCATAAACTTGCGAGCTTTTGGGAAAGGCAAACCCATCGCAATTTTATTTTGAGACATTAGGTGGCAGCAATAGCCAAATGGCAGGCGGAAAGCTTTCAGGGAACTAGAAAACAGGCTTTGGGTAGGAGTGAAGGATGGAAATATTTCCATCATAACTTAATCTTGTTAAGAATGGGTACATGCAATGCCATCTTTATATATCACAGGATTCATTACAGGATTCACCAAACCAAACAATGCTATAAGTTGTTCCAACATCATTCAGATAGTTGTAAATCCTTTCTCTATGGTTAGCATTTTAAATTAGCATTAAATATCTGTTCATCAGTGAGGGTTTTTTTTCATTCTTCAAGTGAGGCACCAGAGACACATTTAACATTTTCATTCAACGACCCACAAAACCCTTTTACTCGTGTAACACATTAAATCTTTCAGAACACAAATAATGTCTACATCATCTCAGAATTCCAACCACTATCCCAATATTCATCACTGGACCAGGAACAGATATTAAACCTATCCCATCAGTTTCTCATTGGCGTTTTAAGATTGGGAAGAGCTCAACAGAAAAGATGAAGCAGACAGAGAACAGAAGGGTGAAGACAGACCAAGGATAAGGTCAAGGTAAGTGGAAAGAGGAGGACGAGGCAAAGGAGCAACCCTAATGGAGTGGATTCTCAGAGAACTGTCAGTATGCCAGGTTCCACAGTGCTCACCATAGCCCCATCCGGAACTGTTGAAAACACGAATATCGGTAAGTATTGCATTTTAAAGACTCAGAAAATCCAGAGTTAATTCTGAATGTTATATAAATGTTCCAAATTATATCAGACTACAGTTTAAAAATCACTTCCACATCCTACACTTAAAAAAAAAAAAGACATATAAAAGATTTCTTTTTCTTTTCAATTCATTTGCTGCTGCTCCTGACCTACCGGACTTTCAGAACCCTTTATCAAAACCAGCTGCTATAGAGATAATGACGTCATTCGAAAATTAGATTTTTGGTAACTGGGTTGGGCATGATGCAGAAGCAAATAACAATAAATTACTAGAAAATAAAAATCCATTTGAACAAACACAGTAATAACAGATACAGGCTTGCACACGCAGATAGATCACTTTCAACCTGCTGTTTTTTCCAGATGAATCAGAGACATAAGAAATTAAGGTGGTTTAAAAATGCATCGCCTAATGGTTGGGCTTCCTAAATGTAACAAATAATGCAAAGTATTCTCCATTTCCTTCTCATCGGATCAAAGTAGAAAGTATTAAGTTTACATTTCAGTCACATTTGTAGTCGTATACACTAATGCCGTTCTAGCAAATTAGACTGGAGAAATGGAAAACCGATTAGAGTTCATTAATAAAAATGGGTTAGAAAAAAATGCTGCCACTTCATTATGTTTCAAAATAAACTGAATTTTTTAAATGTCTCCATCCACAACAGCATATGTACCAAAAGTAGGGAGGGACCTCTCCTGTCTTAAGCTTTGGAACCAAAAGGGTGTGAACCTTGGAGTCCATGAGATCCAGGTTTTCAGTCCTGGCTCTACTTCTACCAGCTCTCAACAAGAGGCAAGTGATTTCACCCCAATAAGCCTGCTTCGTAGGGATAATGATTTAAGAATTGAATGAGGGGCGGCCAGTTAGCTCAGTTTGTTAGAGCGCAGTGCTCATAGTACCAAGGTTGCCGGTTCAATCCCACATGGGCTACTGAGCTGCGCCCTCCACAACTAGATTGAAACAACTACTTGACTTGGAGCTGATGGGTCCTGTTCCCCAATTAAAAAGAAATACAAAGAATTAAATGAGATAATATATGTATAATCTTTAACCCAATGTCTGGAACATACTAATATGTTAATAAATTCAGGACAAAGTACTATCGTAGTGTGGTCATTTATTCAACAAGTATTTACGGAACTCCCATTTTGGGCTCAACACTGTTCTATAGGTGCTGCGGATGCAGCAGCTCAGACAAGGTCCCTGCTCTTATACATGACCAGTGTCCCAATGGAGAGAGCCTTCTGAAAGAGAGCTCTGGGCAACAGTTAACCAGCATAACTGTTTACACTGATTAAATTTATTTTAATTGCTTCTCTACCAGAGTGTGGAAAGTGATGCAAAGAAAATTCCTTTTTTGCTTTATTTAACATATTGCTGTAGCTAGCACATGTTCATACCCTGACAGATGATATTTGGAACACCATGTAAAACATTTTGAAAACTTCACAGTTTTCATACACTTGTGAGTAGCAATTTCTA